CAAAGGAGATATTGGTTAAGAACGTTAAAAAAACTAAAAAATATCAATTCAAAAGAGCGTGGTGGTGAAATGGTTGTAAATATTTTTTTTTGTAAATCATCCGGGATGATTTAATAAAAGTTCATAAAAAAATTTATTTTAAAGATAAAAATAGAAAAAATTTCCAAAATTATTATAATTGCTATTATAATAGCAAGTAATTTTGCAAAAAATTTAATATTTGCATTAAATTTTTGGTTTCTCTCTCTTCGTTTTCTTTTTATTTTCAAATGGTTTTTTCTGTAGTCTAACTCCCTGTAAATAAAGAATGATGACGATTTATTTGGTATATGAAAAGATATTATAATACTTCTCTCATTTTCAGTTACACATGGATTTTGAATTGCCTACCTTTTTTTCCTGCAAGTTATTTTTGGCGATGGATTACCATTCAACCATTCGCCAAATGATTCTTCGTTTTCAAAGATAAATGTGTCTTCGCTTTGAAAGTTCATTTTAAAATCTAAATAAAATAAATATCATAAAAAACGATAAGTAATTCAGCATAAAGCGGTTCATTTCTCCTATAAAGATCAGCCGGAACCGTTTCTGACGTGTTCTGGATTTCCGAAAATCACTTGGTTATTACACCTTATTTTGAAAGTGGACTTTTATCTTTTACCTTTTATTTGAAAAAAAAAAATGTGTGAAAAATTTTGGTAGGTAAAAAAATTGATAAAAAAACCAAAAAAAAAGTTGTTTATTAGATTAGGGCTTCAACTAGTAATTTCAGAATCATACATATTATGGTTACTTTATTTATATACGGAGTCAGCAATTTCTTCTTATTTGGGTCTAAAATCTAATAATCGTTTTATTTTCATAAGCTACTTAGGATTGATTAGTCAAATTTTTTTCTTAGTTATTGGAATAATTCATTTTTCAAATAAATTAATAAATAGATCAAACGTTGCACTATTTATTATTTTAATTAAATGTGGTTATAATTGCAAGTACCAAGTTTTTTTTATTTCAGAACGATTAAAAAAGGGAAACTCCACAGACAAATGCCAACCAATGTTGACGCAACAGAAAATATAAAACACCAACTCCAACTTGAATGCAAATCACATAAAAACAACCGAAAGAGTCTTAAACATATTTGTGATTTTGTTATAAATTCTCAATAATATCGAATGGTTCAATCTCGTGGCTTCACTTATCTATATTCCCCTTGAACCCTTCAACAAGCCTTAAAATCACATGATAGATATGGATCATTTATTACATAACCTCAGTAACCTTTTGAGTATATAACATTTAAGTATTCTTCGAAAAAATCACGAGTATCAAAATTAAATCCCTCCCTTATTCTGTAACGTTGTAACGCAGGCAATTTACTGTTTAAGGGATAGTCCTCTTTGATTATCCTGCTTACTCATGTAGTAATATACTCATCATTTTTGGTTTCCAGTTTCGGATCCAGTAAAAAGCGCGAGAATAATTTTTTATACTATTCGTAAATTAGATGAACTGCAACATTTTCTTGTCATTATTGTTACGAAATAATTTCTGACAGATTAATCGGAGTGTTCCAGGATGCCCTTCCGTAAGATCAAGTATTGCTATTAAAAAGTTTCAGGGACTTTAAAGAGATCATTACCCTGAACCACATGCAAATGAACGAAATTTTTTGAAAGTCGATGGATTTCTTCTCATCCTAAAGTAAGCCATTCAGACCGATAATATATTGGAATTCTATAGATGTTATTTTAAAATCAAGTGTTGGATGGTATATGACGAGACAGAATTCGCAATTTTTGACAAAATTCCTTCGATTTACCCCAAAGAATGGAGCGTCATCGAACCTGTATTTCATCAACAATCAGATAGGTAGCCTTTTTATCTGGATCGACTAATTTCGGTCGCAATTCTTCCAACTTTATTCCGCCAAAAATCGGTAAAGATTTCCCGTTATTAAAGATTACCCGACCATCAAAAAGATCTGAAGCACCTGTCCAAGGGTGACTCTTTCTTGATGATGGAGGACTTCTCGTAAGGATAATTTTTTATTTCCACGATCTTTTTAAGCCTGTCAGGTGATATACTATAAGTTTATATGGTTCTACTTTCCTCGTTTTCTTTCGCTTCCCTTTTTCCTAATCAAATAAATAATGAGATATGAGATGCTGAAAATTTATTATTCGAGAGGTAAGACACTTACCGGGCGTTGGACGATGATGTGGTTGGAGTTATCCAGAAATTTAAATTCAGTTGGAAATCCCATCAAAATCTTTGTACATGGGCTCAGCGCATTGCTGTTCAAGGTTTATGAAAGTTCATATTAAGTTCTTTCACTGTCTAGTTATTTTCTTCGAGAAAGGTACAAACTTTCGTAAATTCAGTTCATTGAATTTGTTGTTGAGCCATATCAGTTTCCAAAGTTTAACTTTTTCTAGACTGATATCAAATTATCAACTTTGCTTATTTGTTCAAGGTCAATTTGAATAACATTATTTAATAGGAATATCTCGAATGTAACAAAATAATGTAATATCTCTTCAGTTCGTCGGTTTCAAAGACATCGGAAGTCGATGTAAAAGAGGTGGTTGCAGGATCTTGCGTTGATTAGGCACTTTGACTAGTTGACATATTTCTCAGAATAGTAAAATCGTCGTTCCCGTATAAAGTTATGTTTTTGTGAAAAGAGTCCGGTTTTCATAATTCACGGGACACTCGGCAAAATTTGTTGCCGATTTCTATTTGGCATAAAACAATGCTTTAAAGTTACATGATAACGTTGATGGTTTTTGTTTGTTTATTCCTCAATCCATTTTTTTCAACAATATCTGTTAGTTGTAGTTTGAAAATCCAGGAGTTTTGAATGTCATTTGACAACCTTTTTTTTTCCTTTAATAAATTTTTATTTACATATATACATGTATAATCAAACCTTCCTTTTAAATTGGTGTCCGATATGTTTTCAACTGTCCGCATATGCAGTAGTAATGTATCACGTAATCATGCACAAAAAATTACAATTTCGAAATTAAATCTAAGGAAATTATCAAATTTTATGTTTCCATGCATCAATTTAAGAGAACTTTATTTATCATTGTTCATCATTAATGTGTGACCAAAACTCTAATAGAAAAGTATTCAGAAATTTTAACGTTGTAATTGTTGATACATTTTGTTTTGCAAAATATTTCTTTTATATAATCAATTTGTGAATTTTTCGCGTGGTGTGAATATTGTAGGATCAGGAATTCCTCATTAGAGTCGAATACAGATGAAGTTTTACTCCTTCTAGGAACCAGATTCTCTATTAGATTAAGTATTGGATCCTGGACTAATCTCTGGATCGATCTCAGAATCTGGTTCTAATTTTGGCATGAGACCTGTATTGATATGAATATTGTGGAGCTTGATGTATGTTAAATGAACTTATCAGCAGCCTTTGAAGTCTTAGACTATAGCCAAAAAGTCAATTTTTAATCCAAGTAATATTAAATAGACGAAATACGACGCAATTATATACCCATCATGCAGTTAGCTGTTATCTTTCACAATAAACGTGATTCTTTTTAAACTTCCACATTGTGGAATTAATCTAAACAAAAGATACTATAAGTGCATTCTCCTGAAAGAGATGACTGGAAACCAAATAATTGAAAAATTCATCAACAACATATCCCTCTTTTATCTTTGTATGTCCTATTCAAAGTTCCAAGGATTTGTGCAATTTTCGGGTTACTTGAACGTTCATAGTAAGATGCTATATTCTTTATTACTTCTTCGTCTGTGCATTCATCTTCTTCACACTCACTTTCCATTTCTTTCACTAATCTGTAATCTCTAGCAAGTTTTCTTGCTTTGAAAGCTGCCTTAGTTTTTTGTGCTATATTTCTCTAACGTATCACTGTATTTCTGGCTACTGTAGATGATGATGCTATAGCATCATCTGCAACACCCATTTCAGCACTAAGTTCAGAGATTCTGACAATAGATGTATCCGTGACCTCCGCTGCTGTTTCAATTAAACCCCAAACATAAGAAGCAGCAAAAATAACAATGGCAATGGCTATAGGAAGTAAAATCAATAAGAGCAAGTTTTTTTAAGCAGGCAGCAGTGGTTGAATCAATTCTTTTAGATTATTGGGAGTCATTTTAACACTTAGTTCATTAAGGGCATCATGGAAACCATGATAGTACATTTCCCAATAATTGAATAGCTTGTTTGATGAATCAATCATGTGATATGTAGTAACACCATAATCTTCAGAATTGAACGAGCTGCCATTACTGAACTGAAGAGGTGCAGCGTATAATCCAACTTCATGATCAGTCAAATAATTGATGCATTTAGCTACATGTTCTATTTGATTAATTTGAAAATCAGGTTGATCTGAGTGAAAATACATGATCTGAGTTCAGTTCTTTTTGCTTATATATAATTTTAGGGGCTGGAATAAGTTTCATCATATAATTACTAAAATTACATTTATAGTTATTAATGTTATTTTCAATATACAACAAAACTGAAAAATCATCCATGTTTATTTTTGCCATAAGGCTGAAGTCACAATCATAAATACATCCTCACATAATGATATTTACAGTTGTTAAGAGTGGCTCATGTTTTAGAGCTTGAACATCTCTGATAAAAGAGACGTTGTATAAGTAATGCTGTTATCATAAATATGAAATGCTGCATGATTAGAAGGTACGTCCTGGTTGCACATATTAAAATCACACTGTGACGGGTAAAATTTTAGATAGATTTAATTGGTAGAATATTTGTCTATTTTATTGCCATGTAGATTTTCTATGAAGATCAATTTGTCCATTTATTGCCGTCAATCAATTATGTAAATCATTAGATGTCAATTTTATTGCCCTTGATAATCACGTAGATCAAGATGTCCATTTAGTTGCC